CGCCTGGACCACTGCTCCGCCTGCCTCAGGCCAGGCTCCCTCTGAGGACTTGCTAGCCCAGGCCTCACGACTTCTGCAGGCTGCTGAAGGTGAGGGGGATTCCTGGGCCCTTGGGTAGCCTGATGTTGGTACCAAACCCTGTGGCCACCTTCTGAAGCCCTGCCTTTTACTCCTCAGACTCGGATGGCAGCGAGTTTCAGGAAGACCCTGTGTTGCAGGTGCTAAGAGCTCAGAGGGCAGAGCTCAGGCAGCAGAAAAGGTAACCACCCTCCACCAGGATCTCCGATCCTGAGTCCCGTGACAACCCTACTGGGTGTCTGCCTCTAACTAGCACACACCCCAGCCTCTATCTTCCGACTTTTCTCCAGGAAAGTGGATGCCCAGTTATCTCTCCTCTTGAACCACACTGAAGACCCAGGATCTTCCTCTCCTCCAGCCAGCTCACCTCCCGGGTCCCCAAGAATGCGGCTGAGGAGGGAAGGGGCCTCCTTTGAGGCCAGGCAACTTTGAATTATAAAATTCTGTTTTTCCTGGTCTGGGGAGGTAAAGTGCTTGCAAGTGTGAAGACCTGAATTTAGATCTCCAGAACTTACATAAAGGTACTGACTGGCCAACTGGCCTGTGGAGCCTGGGTCTCAAACAAGGTGGAAGGCAAGAACCTGTATTCAAAGTCCTTTGACCTCCATACATGAGCTGTGGGGTGGATGGACACACACACACACAATAAAGTTGGCTCCAAATAACATTTTTCCAGTTTACTGTTAATTTCCAAGAAATGGGTTGTAGAAAGGTTGATTGTGCTAATAAGGGAATGTAACCCCTTCCCCTGACCAACAAAACAAAACTCTCTCTCTCTCTCTCTCTCTCTCTCTGTGTGTGTGTGTGTGTGTGTGTGTGTGTGTGTGTAAGCCCATGATTCTAAGTGATAGGGGACCTGACTTATGTAACTCAGAAGTGGATTTTTATATGTCAGGTGGAGAAAAAAGCATTGTCATCTGGTCTTAAGGAACATCAAGCCAGGAGTTGGTGGCACACGCCTTTAGTCCCAGCACTCAGGAGGCAGAAGCAGGTGGATCTCTGAGTTCGAGGACAGCCAGGTCTACAGAGTGAATTTCCAGGACTGTCAGGAGTGTTTCACAGAGAAACCCTGTCTCAAAAAAAAAAAAAAACAAAAAAACAAAAAAACAAAAAACAAAAAACAAAAAACAAAAACAGAAAACAAAAAGAAAGAAAGAAAAGAAACATCAGTGTTGGGGGCTGGAGAGATGGCTCAGAGGTTAAGAACACTGGCTGCTCTTCCGAGAACCTGGGTTCAATTCCCAGCAACCACATGGTGGCTCACAACCATCTGCATTGATGAGATCTGGTGCCCTCTTCTGGTCTGCATGCCTACATGCAGCCAGAACACTATACATAATGAATAAATACATCTTGTTTCTAAAAAAAAATATTTAAAAAAAAGAAACATCAAAGCCAGGCGTTGGTGGCGCACACCTTTAATGCCAGCATTTGGGAGGCAGAGGCAGGCAGATCTCTGTGAGTTCGAGGCCAGCCTGGTCTACATAGTGAGTTCCAGGACAACCTCCAAAGCTACACAGAGAAACCCTGTCTCAAAAAAACCAAAAAGAAAAAAAAAGAAACATCTGTGTTAGACAGCAGTACGTATATATCCCATTTATGCTAGCATCTCTCCCTCTCTGATTGCCATCTCCATCCACAGGTCCTCAAATTCCTGGTCTCTCCTTTAAGTTTGTTTCTCTTTTACCCTTTCTTCAGCTGTGTTCTCTCTGCTCAGCCACCAAAGCCTGACTCCTGCCTTCCCACACATAGTCACCTGGCAGATCCCGACTTGTTCTCTTTGGAATCTATCAGAATCCAGCTCCCTTCCACTGCTGTCCCCTCGGTCTAGGCCACCTGTACCACTGAAAACTTGTCATTGCTATAAACACATCTGCCCTCTCCCTGATACACTTGCCATCCAGCAGACAGCCCCTCTCTTTCCCTTGAAACTGGGCCCTTCAACACATTGAATGCAGCCAAAGGGATGCAGCTTCGGTTAGAAAAGTGGGTACTGCCCACCCGTTTTCCTTTTCCTTCTATTTTCTCCGATTTAGAGATGCTTTAGGGAGCATGCAATACAATCTGATTTGCTGGACATGGTAGTGCCCACCTGTAATCCTAGGAGTATGAAGCAGGAGGGTCTCAACTTTGAGGACAGACACCCTTATAGTGAGTGAGACCCTGTGTTGAAAAAAAAAAAAACAAACAGTTGTTATCCTGGGGATGGAACACAAGGATGCACTCACTGAGCTCTGTTTGAGATTGGTTAACCTCATTATATGCAGCTGTTTTACTTTTCCCTTCTCTCTCTCTCTCTCTCTCTCTCTCTCTCTCTCCTCTCTCTTTCTCTCCAGGGTTTCTCTGTGTAGCTTTGGAGCCTGTCCTGGCACTCGCTCTGGAGACCAGGCTGGCCTGGAACTCACAGAGCTCCACCTGCCTCTGCCTCCCAAGTGCTGGCATTAAAGGTGTGTGCCATCACCACCTGGCCTATCTTCTTTTTTTAATAATTTATTTTTTATTTTATCTTGCATTGGTGTTTTGCCTGCATGTATGTCTGTTTGAGGGTTGTCAGATCTTGGAGTTACAGACAGTTGTGAGCTGCTCTGTGGATGCTGGGAATTGAACCCAGGTCCTCTGGAAGAGCAAGCAGTCAGTGCTCTCAACTGCCGAGTTATCTTTCCAGCCTGTTTTACTTTTCTATTGCTGCAACAAGACACCACAGCCAAGGCAACTAATAAAAGACAGAGTTTATTTGGGTATTACAGTTTCAGAGGGTTAGAGGCCATGGCCATCATGTCTTGGAGCAAGGCAACAGGCAGGCAGGCATGGCATTGGAGCAGTAGCTGAGAACACACAGAAGACAGAGACAGAGAGACGCAGGGAATGGAAGTCTTTTGAAAGCTCAAAGCCTACCCCCAGTCACACCCCCTCCAACAAGGCCACACATAATCCTTCCCAAACAGTTCCACCAATTAGGGATCAAGTATTCAAACATTGGAGCCTCTGCAGGCCATTCTCATTCAAACCACCACAGTGGTTTTTCTCAAAAGAAAAATATTCTGAGTTAGGAGATGCATGCTAGCTGGGCATAGTTGAACTCACCTTTAATCCCAGAAGAGGCAGGTGATCTCTGTGAATTTAAAAATAACTTGAAGCCCGGCATTGGTGGCCCACGCCTTCGAGTCTCTTGCCGGAGGCTCTGGCATGCTTCCCTCGAGGGGCGGGCCAGCAGGCACACGGAG